AAAACCATCCATTTATAGAAACACCATCTGCCCTAGCAGTACTATCCTTAGTAAAACCATCCATTTATAGAAACACCATCTGTCCTAGCAGTACTATCCTTAGTAAAACCATCCATTTATAGAAACACCATCTGTCCTAGCAGTACTATCCTTAGTAAAACCATCCATTTATGGAAACACCATCTGTCCTAGCAGTACTGTCCTTAGTAAAACCATCCATTTATAGAAACACCATCTGTCCTAACAGTACTATCCTTAGTAAAACCACCCATTTAAAGAAACACCATCTGCCCTAGCAGTACTATCCTTAGTAAAACCATCCATTTATAGAAACATCATCTGTCCTAACAGTACTGTCCTTAGTAAAACCATCCATTTATAGAAACACCCTTACGTATTATACACCTTCTCAGTATGCTATTACAATAATAAATGATAAGAAAATATGTCAGGATAGGAAAACACTATTTATCATTAACAAAACAGAGAGTAAAAAAGTACAATCCCATTTACACCAAAAGACACACTTTATCAGGTTTCAATACACTTCCCTACAGTTATTAAATTATATAAAACATTGTACTTCATGAAAGACTGGTCCTTTGTATATAAAACAAATCAGATTGTATATATTATCATTGTAGTTTAAGATGGATTACCATTTAAAACATCCTTTCGCTTGCCTAGTGCCACATCCAAATGGAAGCAGTAAAACTTAATTTGTTAGCAGTGTGTTATCAAATTATTGTGATATTATTTACTCTACTCCAGAAAGTATTGTATGGTTCTATAGTGAATTTCAATGCAAACCTTTCCTAACATCCATTTTGTTGAACGTTTACCTGAAAATTTTTTTTATTATTTACAACCTAAAAAGACAAATCCATTTATGAATGACGATCTTAGGTGTGAAAGTGCAGAAAAAAAAGGAAATTTTCCAAATTTTTATATATATATACAGATCACCATTTGAATTTATCCGTGTTTTATAGTGTACAGAATCTATTTCATCAGGGTAGATAAGTCTGTAACATTAGTTTAAACTCTTAATACATAATTTTGTTCAAGAATGTGAGATGCAAGTCTCACTCGAATGTTTTAGTGAGACAAATGTTTCTGACACATCTCAAATACTTTGAAGAACCCTATCAAGATGTAACCATTTGGATATCTAATCATCGATTTGAAACTGCAAACTCCTGACCAATTATATTTAAGAACTGGTTTATTTCCAGGAGATGATATTGTAGTGTACTTGGCCAAATGATAACATCTTGATGACTTCGGCCGTGATAGATATCGAAGAACTTTATCTGAAGGAAGGGCAATACGCTATTAAAGAACTAACATTCAAATGTTTATACAGCGGTTATATATATATGTGTTTTTCTTTAAACAACCGTTTTTCAAGCAATTTCTTTCAGATAAAGACTGCTGCCAATGTGATTGAGTGACTAGACATGTTCACCCTAGGAAGATGGAACCATCCATTTGTGGACCATATCCCCTAGGAAGATGGAACCATCCATTTGTGGACCATATTCCCTAGGAAGATGGAACCATCCATTTGTGGACCATATCCCCTAGGAAGATGGAACCATCCATTTGTGGACCATATCCCCTAGGAAGATGGAACCATCCATTTGTGGACCATATCCCGAAGAAAGATGGAACCATCCATTTGTGGGATATGGTTAGTTTGCTAAGGCAAACTTTACAGATGTGTTTATCATGGGGAGTGAGAAAACCATACTGTTGAAAAGTGTCCTCCAAATTACCTGCTATAATTTGGAGTCAATTGGTTATCCCAGAGTTAATCAACTTCATAAGTCAACTCTACCATGTCCAATTCATAGTGATGAAATAACTTGTCATTATGGTGTTAAAAAAGTCAGTGTTATATCTAAATGGATTATAAATGATTTTATAAATATATGTCTAAATAGATTTATATGTTGTTTATTTGTCATTTATTCATCATGACACCTTGAATTAAGCAGCACCAAGATTTGCTCTGACCATTAACTAAATTTACGTGTAAACAAATTAAAGATGTGATTGTTGAAGTTAACGATGATTTTATAACTTGTATTTGTGAATGTGCTTTAAATATTTAAAAGGGTAATGTTCTCATGACGAACATAAAAAAGCAGAAATTTAGATATACAAATCATTATTGAGAGAGTTGGCTGATAAGACAACATCTGTTAAACAAAAAAGAAATTTTCTAATACAGAAAGAAGTGTTTTTATCATTACTCGTAGCACCAATATGTTCATTATTTGGTAGTTTGACAAGATGGACCATTAGTAAAGCTGTTGGTCTTTAAAATGGAACATGCAAAACGATTGATTCTCGTTCTTGAAGAACTGTACATGGTACAATCATTTTATCAACCTAAAGTTTATAAAAGACCCATTCATAGTTTTAAACTCTATAGATAATGAAATCTGTCATATATAATAATACTCTACTTGCAGATGATAAAGCCAAGCTGTTACATCAGCTGCAACAACATCATCAAATGTTTCAATTGCAAGGCAGGGAACCTGTTAAAGTGGAATCACCAACTCACAAAATTTCGGATATCATCAACAGCATGCTTCTAAAGTATAAAAACAAAGCTGAAATACTATTAAAATAAGCTTAATACGTTCAAGTGGAGATGTAACATGGAATGATTGAGGACAAGTAGTGATTAATGGAAGACCTGTCCCAAACAGTAACACAATCAATTTGATCAGCGATGTATTACGGAAATGAAAACAATTTAAACCTACCAATTACAAAGAATTTGCCGAACACTATCATATATGAATATTCCACAATAAGTTGTTGGAAATGTAGACAGATGGTCGTACACGAAGTACATTAAAAGACCCAAACGAACAATATATAAATGGGCTCATTTTTCGTTAATGAATGTTGTATTATACAAGCACTCGATTCTTGATTGTCGTCACATACACTATTGTCAATCGATGAATCCTGCTAATATTATCAGTCATTTATGGTTTGACTTTTCCTACTGAAAAGGGCAGATTATAACTACTGCTACAGACAGAACTGGTACTAAACCAAATAGAAAAATTTGGTTCATATTATTCAGACATTGTAAATAATATGGATAAACTCTTCAATCTAAATCAGGTCAATGACTGGTTAAGACATCACAATTCATATACTCTACACAAACCTGTAAGATAAAGATTTTTCAAGAAACAGAGTGATCGTTTCTTGTGTTGTAATCTATTTAACGATATTGTGATTTAGTATGTACAATTCACAGAGATTGGAGAGAAGTTCTCCCAGTGTACAAACTACAAGACTATCTTGGAGAACAATTAGAGGGAACATTTTATGAATCTGTATTACAGCATGTTATTAAGTCCCCTAATGCTGTGGAAGAAATAGTGCGTGAACGAGGAAGGGATAAAAACAAACAGTATTTCGTGAAATAGAAAGGCTATCCAAATAAGTTTGGATCCCTCAAGCTGATCTGAATCAACTGCCATAACAAAATATCAAAATATAATGTATAACTCTATTACCCATTATTTGGCATGGATCAGTTGTATGTGATGTTACCCAGAAATTGCTCTATAAACTATTTTGGCAGTAATACCTTGACAAATTATATCACAGATCTTCTCGATGGGCTCGTGGGAAGTGGCCTTGTCCGAAATACAGTATCCACACTGTTGGCATAATTCACCTGATAGTACAGGATGGATAGCTCTCCTTTCTGGCTCTGAAAGTCTCAATAAAGTCATTTGTGTTAGACTGGTTCATTACAAAGAGTCTGAGGATTTGATTAAAATACTAAAATAGTTAGAAGAATTACATAATGAATCCGACAAAGATCCTGTATTTAGCTACAAGTGTGAAAGTAACAGAGGTTCCCGCTTTATTAGTATGCCCCTATTATCTGTACTACTTGGATTTGAGATTAATCATATGATATCGGAGTCCACTGTAGCTCCATACATTGTTAATATGCATGGAGGTTGTGAAGGTGACATGATTACTGAAATGCTTACAAAGTCATCATTGGAGAGTCATCATTATGCTTCACTTCTGTCACTTGTGACATTATGGGAGTACCTTACTATAATAATCCAGTGATTTATGACACGTATTATACTTACCAGGTGTGAAATGGCTTACCATGTTTTGCAGGTAGTCAATGGCAAGGAAGTTATGGTTTGGGAGACGTGTTAAACAATTTGTTTCATTCAGATATACCTTTTCTGACAAAGGGAGTATTAACAGTTAAACCAGGTATAAATGTAGCATCAGATGTCTTACAAGGAAATAAATTTGTTGATGCCAGAAAACAATGTGGAAAAGAAGCAGCTCAAAAGTTGATTCGAGATGTCACACAGATTGCTCTACCTAATAAAAGGAAGAAATGGAAAGGCCTGGCATTCAGAATCACTAAACCAAAAGACAGAAAACATCGAGCCCTGATATTTTTGACAAGTAATTATGTCCCTTCTACCTCATGAAAAGTCCTGTCAGTGTATAAATAATTTTCAATTCCTCAGAGAAACTTACAAGCATTTATTTAAAAGGCATTTCTAGGTCAAGTACCTAAACGTCTTTTTAAAGGATGTTTCTTGATAATGATGCATTTAATGGATCTTGGAAGAAAAACACGTACAATTACAAACATTACAGTATCAATTTCGTAGCAATTAATTTGGAAGGAAAACAAATTCCTGCTCCACCTTTACAACCCAATTATGATGCTGAGCTGTATGCAGAAAGCTAGGAAACATTATTTAGGAAAACAGTTTCAAGATCAGGGAATTGATATAGGATACGATGAATATTCAGGAGGATATACACTCTTTGTCTCTGATCTTACACCTGACCTATTTGACACACTTTAAGTTGATGAAACAGGAAAATTTATGTGTTGAGATACATTTTGGTAAATCATTACTTAGCATTATAAATGTTCTTGCCTATGCAGAATTTCAGTCCATTTCAGAAATGGACCAGTCCAAAAAATCATCACTGATATATAAGAAGCAATGAACTCTTTAGAGGTTTATTCTATACTCTATAAAGATTTGTGTACGAGAAAGAAACCTGGAGGTGTGTTTGCCAATTATCAGCTACCTAACTAAACCTGGAAGTCACTGGGTTAGTAGAAATACAACTGTATATCATCAACTTGGATCCAAGTCATAAACCTGGAAGTCACTGGGTTAGTATATTCTTTGGTCAAAATGGGAAAGGTGAATATTTTGATTCCCTTGGCTTGCCTCTACGAACTAACAACATAAAAAAATCATCAAAAATACTGCTGAATGTAGACTTACAATAAGAAGGTTGTGTAGGAGTTTATTCGACAGCATGTGGACAATATTGTATATATTATGGCTATTACAGACTTTTATCCAACCAAAAATTATTGTCCAAATTTGGATCTAATAAAGATAGTAATGATATATTTGTTCATAGTTTTGAAAGCACTCTTTCCATTGGTTATAATCATAGAGCTCAACTAAGTATAATTGGCTGAGAAATTGCAATTCAATGGTAGAGAGTGGGCTTGGCATCTGTCAGGAGTTCAGACAAATATGTTTCTCATTTTCTCTTAATATACCCTGTTGAACTTAAAAGAAGTAGGAGCAAGCCCAGCAATTCTCCTTTCTAAGTTCTTGTATGACAGGAGATATATTTTCAGTATATACTGTTGCGTCATCGAGATCACGTGACAATTCTCACGCTCTCTTGTTTCTAGAACTATCCCGTATCTTG